AAGTAAAGACTCTGATTATTTCTTTAGTTTTTTTCCTATTCAAAGTAGAATTTTTACTCCACACCATAATTCACTTCAAATAACTTATATGCATCTATTACAAAGACAAATCAAGAAAATAAGCACAAAGAATTGTCACTAATTTGCCATTTCATACCTCAATACCTGTGTAACTGTATAGGTTTGAAGGTTAATTTAAATCGGGGAAAAGGTATGGGATACATAGGATCTTTGACAACTTAAAAAAACTAGTTTCTAATTCCATCCAACCAGCTGGTCATCAACCTCAATGATTTAAAGAAAAATCCATTACAGTGAAAAAATCTGAATATTTATTTTAAAATAAAAATATTTTAAAATGGAATTGTTTTGAAATGCATATGCTTCTCGAACAAATAAGAAAAGACATGGAATTATATTAATTCACTTCAGTATTATGTTTACAGTGACATCATTAAGGCAAACCATACAGATCATGTTATTTCTTTGAGAAGCCAACCTCAAAAAGAGATGGTTCCAAGCATTCCTAGCGTTATTACCACAAATCTGGCTAATCCCATTTGTATTATTAGACTGAGCATCCAACTAGACTAGTAGCTATGGTAGGCAGTCTCAAAACATGGCCTCTAGCAATTCCTCCGTCCCTGTTTATGCATGCCAACCTTTACACCAACAAGTAAAGATTATTTCCCCTCCTTCTGACTTTAGGCTGGCCTTGACTGGTTATGACCAATAATGATGTCCTGGGACTTCCAAACACAAGACTTAGAGGACTGGCAGCTTCTACTTCCTTTCTCCTGAAAAGCTCCTGTTTTAGAGCCCACCTGCCATGCTGTTAAGAAATCTAAGAAGCCATGTAAGTAGAACTGAACAGGTCACATAAAGTAGAACTGAAGGCCATTAGCCCCAGATGAACTCTCAGTCAGTGGTCAACCATATGAGTGTGGCCATTTTAAGTATTCCAGTCATGCCAGAACCCCAGCCAACACCATATGAGGTAGAAAAACCAGCAATTAACCACAGAATTGAGAGAAATAGTAAATTGCTTTAAGATAAGTTTGAGGTCGTTTGTTATGCAGCAATCGCTAGCTTTTATATTGTCAGTTATTATCTATTCCATAAACTATTTTATTTTACATCTCTTAAAATTATTTCATCCAAGTTTCAAGTGTTTCCTCAGTTCTAAGACTGACTGGACAAGAATATATTTATTCTGCCCATCTAAAAAAATAAACTTCAAATACAGTCATCCTTCAGCTTGTCTTTCATATACATATATATATGTGTGTGTATATATGCATATATATTTTATATAGATTCTCCTACCCACTGTCATCAAGTTGATTTCAACTTATAGTGATCCTATAGGACAGAGGTGAACTGCCCCCAAAGGGTGTTTCCAAGGCTGTAAATCTTTATAAGAGCACACTGCCACATCTTTCTCCTGAGGAGTGGCTGGGGGGTTCAAACTGCCAACCTTTTCATTAGCAGCCAAGGGCTTTAACCAGTGCACCACCAGAGTTACACACACACATATGTACACACACACATAAAATAATGCCTACATCCCCTCAATCATTTTAGTTTCTCTTCTCAGTTCCTCTTCCAGTTCTCATTTTTCTGAGGTATTAGATTTTTGTGGACTAAGGAGCTCTAGTGGGGTAGTAGATAAGGCATTTGGCTGCTAACCAGAAAGTCAGTGGTTCAAACCCACGAGCTGCTCCACAGAAGGAAGATGAGGCAATCTACTTTTGTAAAGATTGACAGTCTCAGAAACCCAATGAGGGTCACTATGAGACAGAATCAACTCAATTGTGAATAAAGGAATATTAGTAAAGTCCTAAGGGCCTGCTAAAGCTGAATGAGAGACATTAGTATACAGGTTATTTACTGTAAACCACTTCTTTAATATTATTTGTTTTTAGAATTAAATGTTCTGTTTAAACTCTTTTTCACAAGTACCTGAGGGTAAGCTTTAAGTATAGACCATGTGTAAGAACTCCATATGTGGGAGAGCTCTGGTGGCGCAAAGAGAACCAAACTCACTGCCGCTGAGTCGAATCCAACTCATAGCGACCCCTCCTTGGGTTTCTGAGGCGGTATCTCTACAGAGGTAGATTGCCTAGTCTTCCTTCTGAGGAGTGGCTGGTGGGTTTGAACCGCCAGCCTTCTGGTTAACAGTCATAGGAGCTCTGGTGGCATAGTGCCTAAGGCATCTGACTGCTAACCGGAAGGCTAGTGGTTCAAACCCACCAGCCACTCCTTGGAAGGAAGACTGGGCAATCTACTTTCACAGAGATACTGCCTCAGAAACCCAAGGAGGGGTCACTATGAGTCGGATTCGAATCGACAGCAGTGACTTTGGTTTTTTTTGGTTCATATGTGAATTACAGTCAACTGAATTAGCAATTTCATTAATAAGATTTTATTGCAAAATTCTTAATCAAAGCACTGCATCAATATGGTAATGAGTAAAATAGTAAAAATAGGTAAAGAGAGTATCCATTTCATATTGGTGTTTTAAACAAATTACACAAATTTTTTAAACTATGGGTATCTATACAAAAGTTGCCATTAGCAATTCACAACTGAGAGAAGGAGGAAAATGAGAACAAAGCCAATACTATATAAAAGTTTCATTTTGATTAAAGGATAGCCCTTCTATGTGTACTTGGTGCAAGAGCAAATGTCCTAATGTCCTCCTAACTCTAAAGTTCACTCTGAATACACTGATGCATTATAGTGGGGTAAATGGGACCTAAGGGATGTCGTGACTTCCTCAGATTCATAATCAGACTGTCACTGAGCTGAAAAAGAATACCAAGTCTCTGGCTCTCTGTTCTCTGCATCAGTTATTAAGGTGTCATTCCTGGTGACCCTCTTCCAGTTGGCCTTTTTTCTAACAGCAGCCACAATTGCAGGCAAGGTCAAAAATGAAAGTGACTAAAATTAAAGAAAAAAAAAAACTGGCTTCTCCCTATGGAGTCTGACTTGACATTTAATAATGTGCAGTGCCCCAAAAAAGCTGCAAACTTCTACGTGGCCATCCCCAGGTTCAATTTAACTCAATCAAGAGGCCATTAGCAAAGCATAACTTATTGGTACAAAGCAGTGATCAAAGTAATAGAGAATGTTCCTAGGCTGAGGTCTAATGGGGAATAAAGAAGATGATCTCATAATGACTCTTTAGGATCTGTAAATCGTATTATTCCATAAATCTGACAGAAACGTCAGGACTAAGTAAGTTTTTCTCAATAAGAAAACAAAACTAAGCAGCTGCCACTTTTCTGACTTAAATCTAGAAGTTGACTATAAAGCTAAAATAATTTCCTCTAATTTCTAAAATCCAAAGAAATTTTAAGGTCTCTTCTTAATATTTTAGGATTTCAAAATCAGGCAGAAAAGTAAGAACTTTCTTCATTCAGGCTTAATGGGATTTTGTTTTTGATACATTCAAACTTCACTTAGGTGTTTTTGAAAGCACTAATACAAAATAAAGTTTTAGTAAATATGACCAGTTTCTTGAAGAATATTCTTCTAAGTGGGGAAGTTTAAAGCCTAAATTCAATTAGGTTAATATCCATGTTTACAGGTTTGGAAATTGTTACAGTATTTCAGGCAAGGACAAAATATATAACAACTATCTAACAAAGGAAAAAGGTTTGGAGTGATAGGTAAAATTACTTGCAAGACTTGACTCCAAAAATCAACGTCCCTAAAACCAACTGTTAAACTAGCAATCTATGCACCCTATCATTCTTTAGTTGTAACCGCAAAGTCTGATTTTACACCTAGAATATACAAGAAGCATTAAATTAAAAGCATCAGACTGTGCAAGTGTACCAAATGCAAGCATAGCACAGCAAAGCATGTTACAAAGTTAAAGAAATAGGCTGCAGGGGTTTAAACATGCCCACAAAACTCAATCTGTGCTCACACCTGAAACTGATGGGTAACCACCAATCCTGACTTTTCTTTCAATTCCCACTACCCACATACCCCTTTTATCTCCAGAATTTCTCCTCTGATCTCATCAATTAGAGTATGTGCAATTCTAATCCTATAACCCTTCCTTTACCAGTCCCTGGCCCCTACACTTCACTACCTCAAGTGAGCTATAAATTTTGTTTTGTTTTATCTTATTAGATATTAATTCTACCCCAAATCTCTTATGCCCGCATTTCCCTGACTAATCTGCCTCCTGCTTTCTGTCATCTCCTTCCTACCACAACATTAAACCTCTCCTCTCCAAGTACAGCATGTATCCCTTTCCCTGACATCTGTAATTCTGGCTCACGGGCAACACTGTCCTTCTTTCCTAGAGACTATCACCACGTCCCTAGGTCCCCATCCTCATCCTAAGGCCTATTCCTTTGCAGAGTTTGTCAACATTGGCTTGGACAAGCTGGGATTCGAGGGTGGCCTCGAGGCAAAGACTATCTCCTTCATTCTACAAAACAACAAGTCTCCCACCTTGGCTTTCCCTCGTCCACCCTTAGATCCACCTGCATCCAGTCCTGCCCATTCCCCTCCTACTTCCAGTACCTGTCCTCCCACTATCCCGCGCTCCCCTTCCCCATTCCTGAATGCACCTCCTCTCTGGGCCTTACCCGTAACCCTGACACCAGGAAGGCCCTGACAGCGGCCTCTCGCCGTCTAGCCTCCGGGCTTCCTCCGTTCTTCAGTAACTGTCCCCACGCCCCTTTCCCTCCACCGCCCCGCGCGCCGCCCAGAGCCCCCTCCCGGATTAAGCTCCAGCTGTCACTTGGCCTCTCATCCACAAGATGGCGGAGCTGCTGCCCCCACCCCCGGGTTCGCTCCGCAACCCCCTCCCGCCTCCACAGAGCTCCAGTCCCGTCTCTTCAGCCACCCGCGCCTCTGGCCTCGGCCCGAGGTCCCGCTGCCCCCTCCCCCAGCGGGCAGGCGGCCCAGACCCGAGCCTCGGCGACGCCGTCAACGCCACCGCCTCCACCGCTCCCTGGCCTGCACCTTCTCCTCACCATAAACTTGAGAGCTTTCTCCTGCAGCACTGCCTCGGCAGGGTCCATAATCGCCTGGGGCCGCTGTGTCTACTCTCTGCCGGGGCCGCCCCCTTGGTGCCAGGCCGCAGCCAACGCAGCGCCCGGATCCCTCCTCCTCTTCCTTCTCCCCCGCCCTCTCTTAACTCTTAAGCTCTGGCTAGGGGGATAGCGAGGACCGGCTGTTCCATGCGCATGCGTTAGCCCTCTGGCTCACGGGATTAGTAGTTCTGGAGCTTCCTGCACCGCAGCAAAACGTGAGAACACCCAGCGAACTGCGACTCCCGCGGTTCACTGCGGGAAGGTTGGGATTGTCGACAAGTCAAGTCTAGGCAATCTCGTAGAAGTGGGGAAAATCGGCTGATGGGAATTGTATTTTACCGCCTTTAGGGAGCGGGCAGGAATGGGAGGGGCGCGGGGGTCTCCGTGGTTACAGTGTGACGCCAATGGCAGCTTCCCTGACATTTGCTATTAAGATGGCTACCGGTACCTCACCTGTAGCCCAAATGCTGGTAAAAACTGTGAGAAGACTTAGGGGTTCTAGGGCCTCCCTAACTGTGGTTTCAGGGAACTGTTGTTTTGTTGTTATGTGCCGTCGTCGAGTCGGACCCGACTCATAGAGACAGACCCCTCCTTGGGTTTCCGAGGCAGTATCACTACGGAAGTAGATTGCCCCATCTTCCTTCCGAGGAGTGGCTGGTGGGTTTGAACCGCCAGCCTTCTGGTTAGCAGTCAAGTGCCTTAGGCACTACGCTACCAGAGCTCCCTTTAGGGAACTAGTTATGCCTAAATTTCATATGTCTAGCTTCTGCGGGAGGGTTGTGACCCAGAGGTGCTGGGTCTGTAGGTACCAGGCAGCACCTCACAGACCAATGCAGAACTTCAAGGTCCTCCTAAGCCAGCTCCTCACAGTTCTCCCGAGAGACCTATTCTTCCCCCACAGAAAAAAAACAGGGACAGACAGATCTTAGCTCAAGAATTTCTCTGGTATTTAGCGCTCAGAGGGCATGGTTTGTTAGTGCTAAGAGATGTAAGCAATGCGTCAAGGGTCAAACAGGTGCTTGCTTACAAAAAGGCATTCAGTGGTGGATTATAATGGAAACTCAAAGTAAAGCATGTGAATATTTTCTCTGGCCTTAAACAATTAGTTTATTTTGGGAATTGGATTACCTAGGAGGACAAAAAGAAGCTCTTGTGGTGTAATGGTTAAGGCATTTGGCTGCTAACCAAAACATCGGTGGTTCAAACCCACCAGCTGCTCTGCAGCAGAAAGATGAGGTGGTCTGCTTCCATGAAGATTTACAAGTTTGGAAACCCAATAGGGGTTGCTATGAGTCAGAACTGACTCAATAGCAGTGAGTGAGTGAGGAGGACAAAACTCTAGGTTTAAGCCAGAAGTCAGATTATGATAGACTTGTGTGCTATCTCAATTTATAAAAATATGTGGATTTGGAAAATGCCTTTTAACTTATAAGAATAATTCCATTGTTAAGTATTTTATTCAGTCATTTATTCCACAAATGTTAAGCACATAACTGTGCACAGGCACCATGTCAGGAAATGAGGATTCAATAGTGAACATGACAGTCCCTTTCATTGTAGAGCTTATATTTTTAGTGTATTAACATGTTGTCCTAAAACCAAGAAACCGAACTCACTGCTATGAGTTGATTGCGACTCATAGCAAACCCCTTTGGGTTTCTGAGGTGGTAAATCTTTATGGAAGTAGATTGCCCCATCTCTCTTCCACGGAGTGGCTGGTGGGTTTGAACCACCAACCTTCCAGTTAGCAGTCAAATGCCTTAGGCACCACACCACCAGACCTCATTAATGCTCTCTTGTAGTCATCTCTACATCCATAGCACAATATCTGATACATAATAAGCTTTCGGGAGTGCTGGTGGTGTAGTGCTTAAGGCATTTGACTACTAACCAGAAGGCTGGTGGTTCAAACCCACCAGCCACTCCTCAGAAGGAAGGTTGGACAATCTACTTCCATAGTGATACTGCCTCAGAAACCCAAGGAGGGGTCATTGTGAGTTGGATCCAACTCAACAGCAGGGATTTTGGTTTGGTTGGATTACTTTATTAGCTCTATGTGTTAGGCACTGTACTGGGAATTTCACATTTATAAAATTTTACTGAACATAATTTAAAAACAGTTGCAGCAGTACATCGACAGGGAACTGCCAGAAATTCAAGCCAAATTCAGAATAGGACTTGGAACGAGGGATGTCATTGTTGGTGTCAGATGGGTGTTGGCTAACTGCAGGGAATACCAGAAGGATGTTTACCTATGTTTTATTGACTATGTAAATGCATTTGGCTGTGTGGGTCATAAAAAATTATGGATAACATTGCAAAAAATCGAAATTCTAGAACACTTAATTGTGTTCATGAGGAACCTGTACATAGACCAAGAGTCTGTCATTCAAACAGAACAGGGAGATACTGCATGGTTTAAAATCAGGAAAGGTGTGCATCAGGGTTGTATCCTTTTACCACACTTATTCAATCTGTATGCTGAGCCAGTAGTCCAGGAAGCTGGACTATATAAGAAAGAATTCAGCATCAGTATCAGAGGAAGACTCATTAACAACCTGCAATATGCAGATGATACAGCCTTGCTTGCTGAAAGTGAAGAGGATTTGAAGCAGTTACTGATGAAATCAACTACAGTCTTCAGTATAAACATAAAGAAGCCTCAACATAAAGAAAACAAAAATCCTCACAACTGAATGGATAAGCAACACCATGATAAATGGAGAAAAGATTGAAGTTGTCAAGGATTTCATTTAACTCAGATCCACAATCAACACTCATGAAAGCAGTAGTCAGGAAATCAAATGACATATTGCATTGGGCAAATCTACTGCAAAAGACCTCTTTGAATTGTTAAAAAACAAAGACGTCACTTTGAAGACTAAGGTGCATCTAATCCAAGCTGTGGTAATTTCAGTCGCTTCATATTCATACAAAAGCTGCACAATGAATAAGACTGAAGAAGAATTGATGCCTTTGAATTATGGTGTTGGCAAAGAATATTGAATACACAGGGCCCGGGGCTTGGGGGCTGCTTTTTACTTGAGGCACAGCTCTGTTTTAAGGCTGGGGCCCAAGGTAGGTGGGCCTGGGGCTTGGGGGCTGCTTTTCACTTGAGAGAGACTCTCCTTTAAGGCTGGGGCCTAAGGTAGGTGGGCGCAGGGCTTGGGGGCTACTTTTCGCTTGGGGGTAACTCTATTTTAAGGCCAGGTAGGCTGGTGCAGAGGGGTTAGGAACAACTAAGGGAGACAGTTTATTGTCCTGTGGTGGCTTACATGTTGCTGTGAGGCTAGAAGCTATGCCACCAGAGTTGCAAAATGCCAATAGGGTTACCCATAGTGAATAAGTTTCAGCAGAGCTTCCAGGCTAAGACAGACTTGGAAGAAGGAAGAGGCCATCTACTTCTCATATAATTGGCCAGTGAAAACCTTATGAATAGCAGTGAGACACTGATATATTACTGGAAAATTTTATAAATAGCCCTGAAACATTGTCCAATAGAGTGCGAGAAGATGAGCCCAACAGGTCAGAAGGCACTCAAAATTTGACTGGGAAATTGCTGACTCCTCAGAGTAGAGACAACCTTAACAGTACGGATAGAGTAAAGCTTTTGAGACCTCCATTGGCTGATGTGGCATGACTCAAAATGAGTAGAAACAGATGTAAACATCCATTAATAATTGAAACATGGAATGTAAAGTATGAATCTAGGAAAATTGGGAGTTGTCAAAAATGAAATGAAATGCATAAAGATTGATATCCTAGGCATTAGTGAGCTGAAATGGACTGGTTTTGGGCCATTTTGAATCAGACAAATATATGATCTACTATGCTGGGAATAGGAGCTCTGGTAGCATAGTGGCTAAAGCACTTGACTGCTAACCAGAAGGCTGGCGGTTCAAACCCACCAGCCACTCCTTGGAAGGAAGGTTGGGC